ACCCACACCACCCACACCCACACCCACCCACCCCCGCCCACACCCACAACCACACCCACAAACCCTTACCCACACTCACACCCACACCCACCCACTCACACTCACACCCACACCCACACACCCACACCCTTTTTTTCATAAACAAAAAACAAATGAGCATTTATCTTTGGTTATGCTTGAAAAACTAAAATAGAGTGTGGATGTTGCCCTTGCTTTCGTTCACAATTGCACTCGTACTCACACCCACACCCACACCCACACTCACACCCACACTCACACCCTCTTACACTAAATATGGTGAGATATAGTACAATTATGTAACCTGTTCATGTTGAGTATCGAAGACATGATTAGAGAATGTCAATAGGGATTTTAATTTACAGTTTTTGTAGTTATTTAAGGTGCATATTTTAAAAAGAAAATCAAGATTCTAGCATTTGCTTCAGTTAGGATTCGTATGATGTAAAAATATAGTAAACATTTTTGAACGCTTGATAACAACATCACGTAGGTCTTCAAATTTAATGAATTAGAACAGCCACCAAAACAAGTCAATATGAACGTATGTCTATAACTGTTATAGAGCTGTTGACAGCGTCTCTTATAAAATAAAAAAGTCAAGGCATTTTCATTTTCTCAAGGTGAACTATTTGCAAAACAAAAAACAGAATCTTCTAAATATTTAAAGAACTATCATGAATCCTATTCATTTTGAATATTGAAGGCACCTTCCAAACAAATCAATAGGAATTTGCTGTTCTGGTTTTTGTAGAGCTTTCGAAGGTGCATCTTTTGAAAAAAGAATGAGGATTATACGATTGATCTTAGCTGAGATATTTTCAAAATACAATATGTTGCAATCTTTATGCCGCACCCGATATATAATAGTAGCAAAGTTTTTTTTTAGAAAACTGAACACGTTGTTTTTTAGCATTTATGAATTATATGTAAAATTTGCTTTTACCATAGCTGATATTAGAACAAGCAATGTTCTAGATATAGCCAAGCTTCATCAGACTTATGAAAGATCTTCAGAAATATCTAGATGTTCTTCTCACAATAGTGGTTAACAGTGCTACTAAACTTGTATTGCAATCGTTTCATCCGTCGATGTTTTGAAATCGCTAGATGAAGTAAATGTTTAATTAAATTTTTATCAAAATTTGAAAATATGTTTCCTTCGTTTACAAATAACTTTCTTTGTTAGCTACTCTAAATGAATATTGTTTAGAGAGTATTCTTAACTGAATTCTCGTTATTTTTCGTGCTCGAAAGATTCTATTATGATTCGTTAAAGTACATCTTTGTATTGGAATAATTTATTCATTTACATATGAGCATTGTCATTTTTACTCCTAGAAAATCAATTAAGTTAAAATCTTTTTTTTTGTTCATTGATTGACTGGAAAACAGATAAGTTGAAAATGCGTATTAATTCAAGGGCTTATCTCATATAAGAAATATGTCTCTGAAATATATTTCGTAGCTTTTTTAGACTCTGAAAAAACTGCAAACTATCGATAAAAAGGATGTCCGAGAAATTCTAACGTAATTGTAAAACACATTGCTCTACCATTCAACGACAGCAAAGTCTTTGAAACTTTGCCATATTATCGAGCACACTTAATGCAACATTACTATAAAGTTTCAGGTTTATAAAGGTGTGGAGTGAGTGTGATCTGTAATAGTTAATGATGGTGAGATGAAAGTGAAAAAATATATGCGCACTTTCACATTTTTTTAGAAAAGAAAATCGTAATAAATGATAATCAGTACTTTGAAGTCTTTTTCTTCAAATGATTGTGCATATTCGCGATTTCCGAGTAACAGATAATGTACTCGTTACTGATGATTTCATTTCGTCTGATATAAAATCTATGACTTTCTGTGCCGTCACTTCAGTATGATCATTATATGGAATTCTGGCTTTGTCTTTGAGTAAAATGTGCATACCTTCTTGATTAAATTTAAGATTGGCTTCAGTTTCAACGATAAATAATTTTTTACCGTATGACCGTGCTCTATTGATTACGTACAGTAATTCTTTCGTGTTCTCTTCACTATTGTCATAAGCACTTGATATTAGTACAATTACAATTGTTGAAAATTTGATCACCCGTGCCAAGGAATCCCATTTATCATGAACATCAGCGGCATCTTCATGATCATCTAAAATTTTTATTGAAGGATTTTTACTTAAGTATTTAACGAACAAATCATAAAATTCTTTATTAGCCGAATTGTAGCTGATATAGATCATTGGATGTTGTTCGGATTTTGATTCATTTCTTGAAGAATTCTTGTTTGACAATTCTTCAAATTTGCACCAAATCTTAGTAGCATCTTCGTATTCGGGTGTCTTAGCAAGACTTTTAATAAGAACTTTTAGAATAAAATGGGATTCCAATACTTCTAAATATTTTGGATAATTCGTAAGAGATAAAATAATTTTAAGTAAATATTTTCCAGCTAATTTCTCAATATCATTCGCTTCTTGATCGAATAAAACTCCGTATATTTTTGACAGAAGATCTCCAAAGAATAAAATTGAATCTGTTTTTATTTTTGATTCATCACCAAAAATATTTCTTACGATGGAATTGTTCGAAAAAGCTTGTAAAAGTAAATAGAGTAATTCTGATAAATAATATCCACCACTGGTTAAATCTTTATTCTTATTAGAAATTTTTTTCACATGTTCAAATAATTTTTGGCTTGTCTGAAGAAAAAGATCTGTGTCTGCTTCTTTTTCTTCATCGCTTTTAGCTAATGAAATTAATAAACTACCGAAAACATCTATGAAGTTGTTATCTTCCTCGTCTTCTTCCTGTTTCATTACAAAAGATTTCAGATTGAATAGTTTTTTAAATGCTGCCTCTTTTCTTAATGCTTCCAAACCTTCATTGTTTCTTGATAAATTGTAAATGATACCAAAAAAATATTCACCCATACCGCTAGCCAGATTTTCGAACAATGGCCCATCAGCCCATTTCATCATAGCTGAGGCATAACCAACTTCAATGAACACAGGCGCTAGCGATTCATTAGCCAATAAATTCATCAAAAAAAGCAAGATAATACGCATGGTATCTTTCTGAAATTCGGACCAATTGTAATGATCATTAGGGTCGAAAAAAATATTTCCAAAATGAAGAAACGAACAGATGATACAGCTATAATTTGTGACGAATTTATCTACTGATCGAATCGTTACTTCTGTAACAATGTCAGATGAAAAAACAAGCAACAATTTTACAAGCGATACCAATTCAATAATGTTGGTGGACGAACGTTGAGTTAGAATTAGTTCATTATCTAAATTATTATTACTTTTAATTACTTATATTATCAATATTATTTCAATATATAAAGATTTTTATTTGATATATACTCTGTTGAAAAATTATTCTTTCCGATTCAGTCTGTTAGAACAATTCTCCAATTTAATATCCTGATTTTGAAGATTATTCGTAAAATCACAGTGTTTCTGACTAATAGTTGATTTGGCCTGAAATTTGCACGAAAGAGTAATCGCGATAAAAAAAATACTTCTAATAAAAAGTTCAGTCCGATATGTCACACTAGAGCAAATATCAGATATGTTTACTATCCATTTAGTGATTCTTGAGAAAATCATTGTCAATTATGCCAATGTGGCAGATACTGAGGTTCAAATTCAAGCCAACACTTCTGCTCAATTGTTCGGTCAACACAATATCGACATTCACTTTTTAAGAACATTTTACGCTAGAGGATGTACTGAGTTAAGGATAGTCGAAAAAGTATCCTACTACCAGTATGTCATATATGTAGTAACTGGATACATGAAGGTACTGATCAGATACTCAATTGGGTACTATTATATGGTATATCAAGGTACCATATTTCCAAAATTTCAGTATGTTCAGGATCGAATCTGACCTTTGAAATTTTTAATTTTTGTCTCGCTCGAAGCAATTTACCACATCTTTTCGGTTTTATTGAATTTAATTTTTTCAATTCCGAAAATTTAGCAGGTACAATGCCGTGATCTAGCTCGAGTATCCATCAGATCACTTCAGAGTAGTCGCCTCTTAATCTAACAATGGAAGGTTGCGTACTGTTAATGAAGGAAACTGAACATATTCGAGTCAAATGAAAGTTCTCACTGCCTAACTAACAAATTTAAAATATTACATGCCCATAGAATACCTAGAGCAAGTTATTTAAATTTCAAGGTAAATTAAATGAATCTGGAAAGGTTTTCTTCACTATTGTAAGTACACAACATAGTGTTGTTCGGACCGATTATGGAGTTTGTAGAGAGCCTCTTTCATTTGACTCGAACACCATCATGTTTTGTCCTTATAATAGTAGAGTGAACTTTTCCTGTAGCACATAGAAAACGGCGTTTTCATCAGTCACCTAAAAACTTCACTTTACTATTATAAGGACAAAACATAATGGTGTTCAGGGCAAATGAAAGAGGCTCCCTACAAATCCCGTAATCGAAACGAACAACACTATGTTGTGTACTTACAATAGTAGAAAAAACCTTTCCAGATTCATTTCATATCTAAATTTTATATACTTTGAAATTTAACCCTTTCAATACCAACGAAACCTAGAAGGCACGCTTTGTTTCAAACTTGATAAATTTCAAATAACTCGCGAATGGAAACAGATATCGAGATGCAGTTTTGTTTATGACATAGAAGAAACTTCGGTGAATGCACCGATATGAGAAATATAACTGTAACTAGCGAGATCCCGTGCATACTGCACGGCTGCTTTTTTTGTCTAAGGTTTCACATCCATACTTTAGCTTCCATCTAAGAATAGATAATCAGACATTTTGCTTTATAGATGTAGATAGATCTTATACACTTGTACCTTAGTAGAGTTACCTCCTTGTAGCCTTATACTCTTGTAGTTGTAGCTCCTAATACTTTTATTTTCTTGTACTCTTATCCATGATACTTCTGTAGCCTGATCCCTTATCTTCTATATTCTTATGTCTTTACACGCTTGTAGCCCTATCCCCTATTCCATATATTCTTTTTTCTGTATACCCTTATCTCTTTATAACATCATCCACTTATACCGTACCCTTTTATTCCCTATTCACTTATCCTCTATACCCTTACAGCCTTACTGCCCTATTTCCTTATACTTTTATCCGAGTATTCCCTTATCTCTTCTAGCCTTATCACCTTACCCCTTATTATTACGTTCCCTCTTACTGTCTTACTCCTTATTATCTACCCTTTCCCTGCTTTATTCCTTATTACCTACTCTCTTACTACCTTACACCATTGAGGAACTATGGGTACCTCTATATAATAGCTCTTTAGGACCTATGGATTCCTCTATATAATAGCCGCTAAGGATCTCTAAGTACCTGCATATACTATGTTGAGCAAAAAGTTCGCGGTCACTTACAAAAATTTTAATTTTTTAAGTTTACTTTTAAAGTTTGTTGTGTTTCATTTTAACAACTTGTATATCTCGCGTGTTTGTCATGGCCTTTAGCCATGTTGAGTCTTCTCTCTCGTTCTTCCTCCTTCGTAGTCTTTGAGTCACTGGTATATGGATAAGATTCCTGAGTTATTGGAATCCTTGAGTCATATGTACGTGATTATATTCTCTCTGATTCTTCCATATATACATTGATTTTCGTGTGTGGTATGTGTGTGCTTTTTGATTCTTTTATCTTCGAATAAAGAATATTGTTCACAGTGTGCTAGCTATTCTTGTGTAAATTTTGTAATTTCATTTCCATCATTTGAATTTAGATGAATAATTTTAAAATTCGTGTTTTGCTCCGCCACTATTGGAAGAAAGGCCTGTCTGCAAGAGCTGCTGCTGCCGAAATCTGCGAAGTGAAAGGCGACGAAACGATCGGGAAAACTGCTGCGATAAAATGGTGCAAGCGATTCGAGGATAGCGATTTTGACTTCGAAGACAAGCCTCGTTCTGGCCGACCATCTGTTCTGGACGAAGAGGACTTGCGTGCCGCTTTGGAAGACGAGCCGTCATCGAATACTCGCGATTTGGCCGATGAACTTGGAGTCGCGCAGCGGACCGTTGTCCATTACCTGCACAAGTGTGATTTTGTCCACAAGAAGCCACGCCAAGATCCTCAAGAACTCACTGAAGCACAAGCTATACGACATGTTGAAATCTGCCGTCAACTGCTCGACAATCCGTTGGACGATCGGTTCTGGAAGCACATTGTGACATGTGACGAAAAGTAGGTTTTCTTTGTCAATTGTGATCGTTCTAGACGCTGGGTTCCACGAGATCAAAATCCGTCATCGGTTGCTCGTCAAGATCATTTCGGGAACAAAGTCATGTTGTGCGTCTAGTGGAATGTCGATGGCGTTGTGCACTTTGAATTAGTTCCTGATGGTCAAGCCGTGAATGCCGAGCTGTACAGCGAGCAATTGGAGCGTGTCTACAACGTCTTGACGCAGCGCTACCCAACATTGATCCGCCGAAAACGTGCCCTTCTCCAACACGACAATGCTCCAGCGCATCGTGCCAATTTGACCAAGGAGAAGCTTGATGAACTCGATGGTGTAGAGCTTCTACCCCATCCGGCTTACAGTCCCTATCTTGCTCCTTCTGATTATGGCTTATTTCGTTCAATGGTGCACTTTTTCCGAGAACGACGATTTGAAACTTTTGATCTAGTCGAAGCAGCGTGCCGTGAATTCTTTGAGTCCAAGGAGCCGCACTGGTGTCGAGATCAGATCCGACAACTTTCAGAACGCTGGCGTAAGGTCATTGAGAATGATGGGTTGTACTTTGAAGAATAATTCTTATTGACTTTGAATAAAATTATACATAAAAAAGAATTTTTTTGCAAGTGATCGAGAACTTTTTGCTCAACATAGTAACAGGGTTTTCAGATAATGTTTCGTTTTAACACAGTTCTTACAAAACCTCGACGTATTTTTAATGTTTGTCTGCCTTAGGTAGTGCTGCTTGAAGTATACGTCTACCAATCATCTTAAATATTCTACTATAATACGTATAATTTTTTTTGCAGAAAATTTTTTGAAACAAGTCTATCATATCTTAAAATATTATAAGTATGATTGCTCTTAAAAATAAGGATATTAATCGTTCGTTATACTTTGTTGAACGAATCAGTATTACCTGTTGGCATAACTGCAGTTGATGTAATCGTGTCTTTTTTGAAAATTTGATCGAGACATGAATGGAGAAGATTGTCTTTTGCAAAAGCCATTAGAAAAAAGTCGAAATAATTGCTAATATTGTGATTAAAATCACTACGGCATAATGTCTCCAATTGCTCCTGTAATCTATGTACTAAACACAAAAAAAACTCTCGTGTTGTTATCGTTTCATTGTTTTCAGTGATATAAAATTGAATAAATGTAAAAGACATAGTAATTAAAACAGTAAATCGATCATCGAATGTCATACTACTAGTAAATATATGTTGTAAATTTTTTTCAAGATTGGAACAGATCTCATCGATCTCTTTGTGTCCAATTATTTTTGCAGATCCATTTCGTTTATTTAAACTATTCACTGATCTCACCAATTTTTCAAGTTCACATAAGAAATCTTCAGAGGTATATTGGACATCTGTTGAAGTGAGTCGCGTTATTGTTTCCATCATGTGATAGTACAAATACTTTAATACATCTTAAATTTGATTGAATGGATGCAATCGAAACACGATCTTCTGAAAACAAGTAGGAATAAATATTAAACAGCTATTGATGCACAATCCTAATTCTAAAAACATGTACATGGAAAAAAATGCGTAATTGTTCGCAAAGGAATTAGTATTATACGCCTTGTTTTATTGCACAAAATAAAGGATGCCACGTAAATACTGATCCTCTCATCAAATTTTTTTTTTCGTACACGTTTCTGCATTCGAAAAGACTGATATTTTCAGTATTTACACTAAATGTCTAGATCTATTCTATACTAGAATTTCACGTTTTTACTTATTTCTATTACAGTAACACAAGTATCATCAAAAAGAATAAAAAATTTTGAATTGTAACTATAATAATTATGAACGAGAAAAATTGCATCCAGTGTATAATGGATCGATATCCAGCAACTTTTTCGGTATTATATAAATCAAATTTGCGACTTGTAAATGTCTTTGCGAGTAGAAAAAATTCATGTTACATTATAATAAAGAATTAAAAATAATAAGGTATTCCTAATAGTATTCCAACTTTTTTTTTTCTTATTTTCAATGCTGCTTATATCACTGTAATAGAAATAAGCATAAACGTGAAATTCTACTATAGAGTGCATCTAGTATAAATACTGAAAATATCAGTCTCTTCGAATGCAGGCACATTTAAGAAAAAAAAATATTTGATGAGGAGATCAGAACTTAAGTGACACCTTTTAGTTGAGTAGAATAGTGCAAAAACGATTTTTTTTTTCTATTTATGGCTTTCATTTCATCCTTATCTAATAGTTGAAGAAAAAGAAACCTATTCATTCTTATCGTATTGTTGCTGTGAGTTTTACATTTTGTTTTTATCATTATTCTATCCAGCTTGTAGTACGCAATGCTGTTGTTTGATAAGAATAGTCAATGACATTTGTCTCTTTTTTAGTTTAGCAAGAAATTTAAATTCTCTATCTTGACGATTCGTAATTCGACAAACTATAGTTCACTTTAAGACATGAATAAATCAATGGAATTAGTACGTATATGCTCCATAATTATTTATACTCAGGGCATACAATAAATAGTGGCGGAGCTTCATAAAAATCTTATAAAAGGCTTTCAGAAAGTTTCTTCCCAAGTGAACTCAAGACGGACTAAATGACTCGTCTTTTTTCTGGTCATGTCGCTCGTCAGGCCTAGTCTTTGTCTCAAATTCGACTGGTACATGACTAGTCCTGGAGTGGTGGACGTCATGAAGCCCCGTCTAAATCACATGATTGACGGGCGACATTACACATGGCTAGTCTAGTGTTTTTTTTTGAAAAGGACTCATCCAGGACTGGGATGAAGTCGATTGATACAGAAAGTTATTATCGAATATGCAGACTAATCCTAGACGAGGCCTTTTTGAGACAAAGACTAGGCAGGACAGGCGTTTCTGTCGCCCGTCCGAAAACGATGTAAACTTGAAACAGCAAGGACGTCTAGGACAGTATAGGACGAATTGTAACCTTACAGAGTGGACGAGTCCGGAGTAGTCTAAATGAAAATATATAAGGATGTAGGTTAGATTCGAACATGTATACAATGTATAACTTGCCCATCGTTTGAACCACTGAGCCATATGATCAAGAGATCGGCTTCTGCATGTTCATGATCATTCTAAGATGCTATTTAATATAGTTTTACTCTATGTTTTCTCTATGTTCTCATATGAATAAAAAATTATCTTCCGCAGAATACGAGATCGCTTAGATAACATAAAACAAAGTAGATTTTAAAAAATTTTACATTGTTTTGGAGAAATATCTTTTCAATATTATCAAGCAGGAATAATTAGTTCGATTAAAAAAATAATTTTTAAATGCGAACATAAAAAACTATTTTTATTGGAAAGAAACTTGATTTTTTTCATATTATGATTTAGTTTAGTTGGGTATGGAATTAAAATCACTGTCTATCTTTAACTTACAATTAAATCAACTCTGGTTCACTTAAATTTATATTCTTAATTTGAAAACTATATTAGAATTTATATTTGGAACAAAGTAGCATAAAATTCGAATATAGAAGGATTTGAATTATTTTCACGATGTTTTTTGCAAATTTAGCACATCTGTAAGTTTTAAATGGTATGAACTAGCATTACTAGCTACGAAATCAATATTGTTCTCCGTACTAATTCCTACATGCTTTTATGTTTCGATATACTTCACATTTTCAATCTATCAAAATACAAAATATGACACAGTATATTAAGAGAAAGATGCACAAAGTACTGTATCCATCTTTCGCCTCACTATTGATTATGATAGGCTCTCTGATTGTCGTTCTAAAAAAGAGAAAAAGTTAATAATACTAGTAGTAATCGACATAAATTTGATATAGAATAATGATGCATAATACTAATTTCCGTAATCATAACACAACAGGTCGTGCCCAGTTATCAATTTTGTGAAGACTGACCACAAGAGAGGCAATAAAATAAAAACGATTGCTATTCTCTTATCTAATCCATGTGTTAAACACATTTAATTATTCATTGATTATTTTTGACAAGTGACGCATATTTTGAAACTTTTTTCTATTTTCACTACTCTTCTTTTATTTTTCTTTATTGATCAGTTAAAACGAATTAAGAGGATATATTTAATCTAAAGAAAGTAATCGTCTAGAGTGCTTCAGACTAGTCCGGACTATTATTAGCGACACAGTGTTTAAAAACATGACTAGTCATGACTATTATTACAGACATTTGAGACTAGTCAAAGTTATTTGATATCGAATGATTTCTGACTATCTAGCAAATGGACGTGAGTCAATCTGCCATTTAGACTGTATAAACAGACGGCAGTCTTTCTGAGTGTTGTGATCTGCCGTCAGGATGCCCGTCCAGTTTCGAATACTGTTGGGTTGAGTGTTCGAATCTACCGTCTATCTTCGTTTTCTTAATCTTAGGACTAGTCTGGACGAGTTCATCGGACAAAACAGACTAGACATGACGGGGCTCAAAGACATTTCAGACTAGTCCAGACGTATTCGAAGGACATTTCTTCCAAATGTGACTAGTCATGACGGATGTGCAAGACATTTCAGACTAGATCTGACGGTTGTTGCGGACATTATGGACTAGTCATGTCGGCCGTCTTGCGTAAATTTTTGCTTACTTGGGTTTTTTCTACTTAATGATAGAGGAAAAAAGCTCTATCATACTATGCTATTCGATCACTATTTGTATAATATCATAGTAATAAAAATCCCCAAAACATGTTTCGCTATGATATTTTCTAACAATTTTAGCAGGTATCGTTTAAATATGTGCTTTTGCGCTGATAATTTTTTTTTGTTCTGTTCCTATATTTTCTTTATTCTTTTTTCTTTTATATTTTTTTATATGTAAGCCCTCTGCATATAACGATACAAAATGGTGTGAATGTAGGGTGTGGATGGGGTTTGGGTGGATGTGGGTGTGGGAGTGTGTGGTGTTGGTGTAAGTGGGGTGTCGGTGGATGTATGGGGTGTTGGTAGGGGTGTGACTGTGAGGTGTGAGTGTTGGTCACCTCCTCACACCCACACCCATACTCATACTCACACCCACATTTAGACCCACACCCACACCCCACACCGACACCTCACCCACATCCCTAGAACAAAAAAAATCAACGTAAAAGCACATATTTAAAATGATACGTGCTAAAATTGTGAGAAAATATCATAGTAAAACATTTTTTTGGGGGATTTTTATTACTATGATATTATACAAATAGTGATCAAATAGCATAGAATGATAGAGCTTTTTTCCTCTATCATTAGGTAGAAAAAAGCAACTTTCTGAAAGCCTTTTATAAGATTTTTATGAAGTTCTGCCACTATTTATGGTATGCCCTATGTAATATATGATGTTTCTCGTTGAACTTGTATTTTTTTTACTAAAGATAAGAATGCCATACTGGAGTAATGATTTGAAAAGATTCAATTTCCAACAACGAACATGTTCAACATTTATCCCACAAGAGTAAATATATCAGATTATTTCAAAAATAAATTATTTTTGAATTAGAACAAATCCTACACGATGCGTTTGCAATCGTTATCTTACTGCTCATGATAACGTACAAACTGACGAGAAAACATGGAACTTACGAATGCATACTAAGACAAAAACAACCAAATGCTTTGGAACATTAGTTCAATCGAATAGTCCTGTGAGTTGTATAATCAACGAAAACGTAGTAAATGATATGTATCTGTGCGTTTTTTTTCTTCAAGTACTTACGATGTGACATTGAAACTGACCTTGATGCACTATGTTTACTATTATTTGGAGTATGGAATATACCAGTACCAGGTTTAATTATGCGCATGATAAGCGATGTGAGTTCGACACTAGACGTTCAATTAGAAAAAGAGTTTTTGAAAGGAATTTTGGCTGCTGCTGTAGCATCTGGTGAGTATACAGAATGATTTGAATTTAGAAAAAAAAAAGAAGTTTTTGTGAAACTTAGATGCTTGGATTATTACAAGTGGCTATAAAGCAGAGGATGTTTCACAATTGATTGGTGAAATAGTATATAAAAGTCGCATAAGAAATCCCGAAATCAATTTCACAGCTATTGCCATTGGTAAATGGGGTAATATTCAAGATTGCCGTACACTCGAAAATAGGTTTGATAAATTAAGTTTAAATCGATATAATTAATGTCATTGTTGAATTTTTAAAATTCAAATTGATTCTCTATTTACTTGAAAATTCTTCTATAGTAACAAGGAGAGTTCATCTGGAAATAATGAAATATCTCGTCGACACAAGTTAGAACTAAATCAGACACATTATATTTTCTTTGACGACGGTACATTAAATACAATGGATACCGGTGAATTTGCTTCACAGTTGACTCTCAAAATTTCACGTGGAGCACATCGTAGAAGTTAGATTCTTTTTTTAACTATAATCAAAATAAGTTTTGCTAAACATTGATGCCTTCAACTTAGTACCATTAGTCAATGTTCTCGTTGGCGCTAATCTATATGCACTTCGTTGGATATACAAACATCTAGAGAAACGAATACCAATGATTATTTTTAACGTAAATCTACACGAATTGATTGAAAATTTTTGAACAATTTTATTTTATTTTATATACTAGCAAAGTGGATCCTTGGCAACTTTAATTTGCAAGTATCTAAAATTGACAGAAAGTGAGTTCGAGTATATATTAGAAGTGTTCTAGAAATAATTTCTTTTTTGATTTCAGATTCTTTGAAATCAACAACGCAACATAGAGATCATTCTATTGAGCATGAACACGAGAGCAAGAAAACCAATCATCTACCAATGCTCAATCACTATTTTTCGGAAGAAATGTGAGTTTTTATAAGGTAAAACAACACAAACTATGACTATTAATATGAATAGTTTGAATGATGTATTTCATCCACTGGGCAAAACCATTGTAAATATTTATAAAGATTTACAAAAGCTCTATAGTGTTATTCGACAAGAAGAATATGAATGCTGTGGAAAGAAACTACCCGTTGACAAGTTATTTGACTTAAATGATGAAAACATTTTAAAAGATTATCTTCTCTGGTTTGCAAAGTGTTTAAAGTTGCCCTATCGAGATTTTATTCATGTGTTCGATTTCAAGCCAACCAGTTCATTGCAGCACACAATATACAATGCTTTCGTTCAAGGTTTGTCCAATATTTGTTATTTTTCTCTAATCTCGTTTATCGTTCATAAACAATTAATTACTTGTTAAACTCATTGAAAATAATCACTATATACACTAAATTTAAATGCGTCGTACACTTCAGCAGAAAAATGTGTCGTATATGATTTTGTTGCATTTTGTCTGTTGACTATTCGTTCACTGTTTTATTAAGTACACATAGTGATACATAAACAACGCGGTTGAACAAAGAAAAAAAAATACTTAAAATCATTCTTATTTTCTAGATTATTTCTCGATTATTTTTTTTTTCTATCGAGAAAATGCTAATCTCGATCCATGATTGAGAAAGGACTACTCTAAAGTGGTCAGATACAAACCGGATCAATTCCAGATTGGACAGATCCCAGGATCTGATCCGCTTGAGTTTTCAGAATAGGAAGAATTAAACGGAATTATATTGAAAAAACATCAAAATATGATTTTCCAAAGAACCAATAGAAAATGTTTCGCATGTGTCGCAGTGAGCTCCTCGTGTCGCACTGTTATGTGTCGTATAATGTGTCCCAAACACGACACACACGACACATTTTAACTTAGTGTATAACACTTAGCCCAAACAATTACTGGTGCTTTACTAGTGGTAAAATTAAAAAGCTCATTTCATATAAAATGAAGAGATATAATCAATTTTATTTCGCAATATGACTGTGAATATATTCCACAAATAGGATTGATTGAGAAAAATCCGATTCGAATCGACTAGAGAAACAGTCTTGCAGAAACGTTTAAGTTTTTTCGTTTGCTCATCGAACCGAACTACACAATGTTTCAGTAGAGTCGTTATCAAAAAATGATTTTCTGTCTAGATGAAGAAATTTAAATATTGTAGCACGAAACAATATGCCAAAAACTACACAGAAGCGGCCAGTGACTATTGAAGATCAAATGCATATGGCACTTCGCTGGAGTATTGCATATGTTACTGATGATGTATTAAAGTTAAATGCAACCGTTTGGAAAGATAGTAAAAAGGTAGTACTACTCTAATTATTCATGTAAATGTAACTTAATTCTTTCATTTTACAGGTGAAACACAATCGAACATTACTGATCGGTGCACTCAACAAAAACTTACAAGTATTCGTCAATAATTTGATTAAGCTTGATATTGATCTTGCCGAGCTATTTGTTCCGACTAGTAACTCAGAAAATGGACAAACGGATTCTTCTTGGGAACCATATCTAAAGGAGTTATACTCGAACAAAATGCGTATAAATGTAAGAATAATTGATTTTTATTTTATTGTGAATATTAACATTGTAAAAAGCACACTTATATTCTTTTTTTAAGCTTGATCCACTCTATCTTTTGGATAGGATAGACAGAATAATTAATTTCAGCAAAGAAGAACATTTGTCAATTATTATCAAAAAATTAGTTGGTGATTTCATAAAACCAATTTACAAGTCGAACGATTCATCTAAATCAAATTCGAAGAATTCTGACACTAATAATGTGCAAAAGAAAGATGCCGAATATATTTATCGTGATATTTTTCTCTGGTGTATTTTGACACATCGGTTAAAAATGGCGAAAATTTTTCTTGGTCAAATGAAAACTCGTATATGTTCGGCATTAATAGCTTCGAAAATTTTGAAATCATTAGCACGATATGCTCTCGATCATCAATCAAAAAGCACATTAAATGATGAAGCTGATGAATTTGAAATGTGTGCTATTGAATGTGTACGTTGTGCCTATTTCTATGATGCTGAACAAACATGTGAATTAATTATTCGACGTGTTGACGTTTATGGAAATGTTACATGTCTGCAAATGGCGATTGCAGCTGATTGTAAGAAATTTCTATATGAAGATGCATGTGATGCTCTACTGACATATATATGGTATGACAAGTTGGATCCTTTGGGAGAACGATATCGTCTAATAATTAATATGTTAACAATGGGTATTTCACAAATTGTCTTCTCTATTTACGATAAAAGATCTAACCAGATTAAAATAACTGAGCAAGAATCTAAAGTAAGTTAAAAATATTTCCATTATCATTAAGAATTAATTTTGTACACATTTGTAGACAAATACACGAACATCTCCAAAACGACCGTATGTATATAATTCTTTATTGGTTTAATATCATTTTACGATCAATTGCGTTTAGTTTGAAAAGTCATGGTATTAATTATACAGATGATTATCAACATTATGAGTCGTTACGTCAGCACTTTTTTCATTTTCATAATCGACCGATTGTGAAATATTACTATACTTGCGTAAAATAATTCTTATCTGATTCTTAGTTTTTCTTTAATGTGATTTCTTCGAGTATTGTAGTTCGGCTACGCTCTATTCTTAATTTTCTTCAGCTATTATTTGCTGTATGCATTCAGCCCTTTTTCAGCTGTCTTATGGGATATTCATTGGACTGAAATTTTGACGATTACTATAGTCAGTTCTATGCTCGTCGAGGATGTTCGGCAGGTGAGTAGTATGTCACATTTTATTTATATTCAATTATAAAAGATAAGATCACTTCATGTTGTAGTTCTTCTTCCAAGATAATCGATCTTTGAAAGGAAAATTACTAACCTATTTTGACTTTCATAATCGATTTTCTAATTTGTGTCTGATTTTACCGGCTTATATCTTATTCTATATCGGACTGCTGCTACGTTTCGTGATAAGAGATCCGGCAAAATTTTCAACTGCAAGGTAAATTTGACTCTGTATTCATGATATTCAATCAGATTGATCGTATTTCAAAGGATTATAATGGCTTATGATCTAATGCTATGGTTCATTCGATCACTTCTTTTTATCGGCATAGCTCCCAATCTTGGTCCGAAATTAGTGATGATTCGAAAAATGGTAAATAAATAATATCAATTTAGAAGTATTACTGATATTTTATCTTCTAGACGAACGATTTATTGTTTTTCATATTTCTTATGATCGTTGTCATTTTTGGTTATGGAATCGCATCCAGAGCGATGATAGCCTATGGCACTTTCAATTTCGATGGAAGACAATTTTTTCGCAATGTTGTGTATCCAGTTTATTATTTTATGTTGGGTAGTTTTGATAATGAACTCGAATCCTTCGCAGGTTAATGCTTACTGAAAGATATTCATCGTACTCTATGAGTTTCGCTGTTTAGCCACACCTGATGATAGTACAACTATTGCTACACAAATTATGTTCATTTTTTATTTGCTTTTTGTGAATATCTTACTTATTAATTTATTGACTGCCATGTTCACGTACGTAGAAATCAGTATATCAAATTAATTCGATCAGAGAACATTTTTTCTAGTTTTACAACAGCCCATGTTCATGAGCAAGCTAATTATGTTTGGGCTTATGATCGTTGTGCTTTTATTCGAGACTACTATGCTCGTCCGGCATTATTTCCTCCATTTACTTTTCTCATCACAATCGTTCAGCTTTGTCGATGGTATTGGCGTAAGTATCTAAGAAAGTGTTGCATCAACAACAACGATGATCCATTCGAATCAAGATGTTTTAGTAAGCAATACTATTTCATAAAGACTGCTTTAAATTTGAGAAACGACTACGATTGTATTGTTTTTAGTGATGATTCCTGCAAATTTTCATGTTGATAATGCGTGGTCCGAATTCGAACGATATTCAACCAATGATTATATCCGACAGTTACTCGCTGCTCAAACAGATGCTACCACCAACATTGTGACAACAGATCTTACGTGAGTCACACCCTTTACTTAAGTTAGAGATGAGGATGTCTCATAATTACAATCCTGGACGTTACTCAGTAGTAGCTAAAAAGTGAAATGAAAATGTTTACTGAAGCTCTGCTTTGTGAAAATCACATTAAACTATGGATACATTTATTTTAAATGAAATAAGGAAATAATTATAACTTATTTTCAATTGTATCTACAGATCTGAATCCTTGACAACTGATACAGATGAACCAAAGCGATTCAAATTGGATATAAATCAATGGAAAGATGATTTTACACGCGCACAAATCGATACAAGTGGTAGGCTTTCATCAATGGAATCCACAATTGCAAAATTAGAACGTCAAATTGAACAGATGTATCAATATTTTGAAAGAGCAAGTATTCCTCTTGATTCTGTCAAATAGTACCATTCACTCGGTTGTATTTAGATCATTGAATCACCCGATCAAATGGCAACAGCAATATCACGTGCAGCAATTTCCAAAACAAATGAATCATTAATTTCAAAGAAGTCCGGTAAGTTAACCAGATATTTTCGGATGAAGAAAACTCATACAGCATATCGAAGATTATTTCATCCAATTATTTATCTATTTTTTTACTGTGAGACAAAAACAGTCACTTAATGAACTATGATGAACAAAATAGAGACTTCTTTCTTCCCAGTTTTATGTTTTCATCAAATGAGACTTTTTCAGAAACTAACGAATATGACCAGAAACAACAGATAGCCAAAAATATGCAATTTTCTTCACGACAATCATCCAAACGAGAGATATCGACCGATGGTGATACTGTAATATATGTTCCTGACAAATCGAACGACGACTGACCTTATTTTCATAAACATTTTTGACTTGCAACTTGTGTATTTTTGATATTTCAGACGTACTTTGAGTAATACGAAGGACTGAATCGACTGTTATTGCCACAAATAGTTAAAATATGGGTGTGGACAGGTGTGGGTGCGAGTCTTGGGTGTGGGTGTGGGTGTGGGTATGGGTATGGGTGTGGGTGTGGGTGTGGGTGTGGGGGTGGGTATGGGTATGGGTGTGGGTGTGGGTGTGGGTGTGGGTGTGGGTGTGGGTGTGGGTGTGGGTGTGGGTGTGGGTGTGGGGTGTGGCTAAAGTGGGTGTGTATTATCTCTTTAAATTATTTTAAACCGACATCCACACCCACATCCACACCTACACCCACAACCACAACCACAACCACACCCACCCACACCCACACTCTTGTATCAGTAGTGTATCATCGCCGTTTTTAGTGAATGATTTTTTCCTCTTTGATTATTCATTTGTTTTCGTCATCATTGAAACTTCCAACAACAAGCAATTACTCTGCACATTTTTCTCTCGTTCTACTTTTTCTTTTCTGCTCTCTACCATTTAAAAGAAGCTTTACATTGCATAATTATATCTGCTTCAGGCGAGTGAATTTGTAGACTACATGTTGTGAGTCACTCATTGGGACAAAGAGCAGATAACAACGGTATCTACACTCATTTATACGTTGTTAGCATAGCGGTTAAAAGGTACTTAAGCTGATTTGTCGTTACTGATAATTGAATGGATTCTGTTTTGATTTTCATAGAGCATATCGAGATCTTTAACCAGTAATGTATGCTGTACGCGATAACTCATACTGCTCAGCATGTTTTACAACCAGGAAACTCCTAGATGGAATCAATGACACTTCAATAGTAAGCTGACTTAATTAATATTGTATGAGTTTTTGAGAAATGTCTCCGTTTTTAGAAGATATTGTTACGTAGAAAAGATTTATTTACTCATTCCTAAAATTTAAAATAAGACAGAAAGGTGCAGTTTATAGGTTTGGTTTGACTTTCACTGTCAGAAAGATGAAAGCGTAGGATTGATGTATGATACGTTTGTCAAACAGTTTCGGAAGTCATGAAACTAATCTGAGAAAAAAAATTTGGTCGAATCGATAAAATATTGATGCTCGCCTCGATCGAGTAATACCAAAGAATGATGGTATCATGCCTTTAATAATGATGTAACAATCAAATATTCTTCAGTTACTAAACTTGCTAAATATATTTTACATGAACAATTTAGATTCGAGACCGATATTGAACAGCATTGTTCTGGCGAGCAACCAAAGAAAAAGAAAAAAAATTATGAAAATCTTGATGCAAGATTAAAAAGAATAGCATTGTCTCGTGACGTCAACAATATTGAAGAATATTTAACTCTGATTGTTATGAATTTGAAACTATAAACACTTGAATTTGTTAAAATTAATTTTACATCATATTTCTATAATTAAAATGAATTATCACATATTGGGACAAAATGTAACGGGACGAATTGAAAATCGAGACGAATTGTAAGAAGACGAAATGTCATGGAACGAGTTGTAAGCGGACGAAATGTAGGGTTATCCATATCCACAACTACACTTATACCTGCACCCCACACCTCACACCATCCACACCAAAAGATTGATGTAGGAGGAAGACTCCTTCTATCTGATCCGGATTCCATCATCATCTATGGAAATACATATAATCTGTAATACAAGGGGGAAAACACGTACTCCCGTACTCCCGTACTCCCATCGTACTCCCGTACTCCCATCGTACTCCCTGTACTCCCATCGTACTCCCTGTACTCCCGGAGTCCAGGGAGTACAATGGGAGTACGAGAGTCCAACATAGGGATGAGAGTTTAACTTTAACTTTAACGTTAAAGTTAAAGTTAAAGTAACATACTTTAACACTTTAACGTCAAAGCAAGG